ACAGTGAAATCTTTGAGGTTTTGTGAGGAAGGGTCAGAGTTGTTGAATTTTTACATCCAACATTTCTGGTTCCCCTTTTAGTTTTTAGAAATGAAGATTGGTTTCCTGAGAGCAAGATGAATCTTCTTTAAATTCCTTTCAGGTCATGACTTAAGGGGACTGCAGTCAGTGAGAGAAGAGAAAACAAGCAGATAGAGAAATGTCTCAACAAGTAAGAAAAGAGTCTTAAAGCTCATGTTGTGTGAGTTTTCTTTAATTATGTTTTTGTTGTTGTTATGTGCTGTCAAGTCTATTCCAATTTATAGCGACCTTGTATAGAGTTTCTGAGAAGCAGCTGGTGGACTTGAACTGCCGACCTTAAAGTGAGAAAGTGCAACATTTCCTACAGCCAACCAGATCCTAACTCTCCTCCTGAGAAGAGTAACCAATGCTTCTATGAGACAGAAGAGGTGATAAGAAAGTCGCATGCTAGAGTTGCTGGATTATTCCCTGTGTTTGTCATCCTTAGGTATTATTCTTTCTTTGCTAGATTAACTAAAGAACACAGGGTATATCCAAGCATTTTGGAATCAGCAGGTGATGACCACTAGACACAGAAACTTACCATAGAAGTAAGGCAGTGGTGGTGGGATTGTAAAGACAAGGGAGGGGGTCACTTTCAGAGTCTCCTATCACTGCCCATGTGTACCTTAACCATTAGAATACACTCTAAATGTTTTGTCAATAACTTAGCAAGAACACACAGAATAATGTACTGTAAGTAACTCAGCTTGGCAGAAGGATACCAACGTCAATGAGATGAAGGTTACTTTCTTTTTTTGTGATTTTATATCAGGGGTAAAGGAGCTTTGGTAGTGTAGTGGGTACAAGTTGGGCTGCTAACTTTAAGGTCAGCAGTTTGAAACTACCAGCGGTTCCACAGGAGAAAGGTGAGGCTTTCTGTTCCGGTAAAGATTTACAGCTCCGGAAACCCTGTGCAGGGTCGCTATGAGTCACAATCTATTTCATCGCATACTACCACCACCACCACTTCCATATCAGGGGTAAAGAGCTCTGGTAGCTAGTGGTTACAGTTAGGCTGCTAACCTAATGGCCAGCAGTTCAAAATGACTAGATGTTCCATGGGAAAAAGATGAAGCTTTCTGTTCTCATAAAGATTGACAGCCTCTGAAACCCTATTACCGGGTCACTATGAGTTGAAACCTACTCGGTGGCACACAGCCACCACCAACCACCATCTCAAGGGTGGGGAACATCTGGCCCGTGGACCGTCTAAGGCCCACAGAATCATTTGGTCTGGTCCTGCCAAGGCAACCGCAGTACCAGGCATCACATTGGTGTTGGTGGTAATTATGTGCCATGGAGTTGGTTCCAACTCACAGCGACCCTGCATTGGGAGCAGAAAGCCTCATCTTTCTCCCGAGGAGTGACTCCTAATTTCAAACTGCTTACGTTGGGGCCTGAAGGTTTGACAAAACAGAGCTGGCTAATTTTTTATGGTCTGCAAATGATGTTATAAATTTTGGCCAAAAAAAAAAAAAAAAAGTCCCCATCCCTGTTCTATATCCTCAAATTTAATAACTGTTTTGTCACACTGGACTTTAAAAATTTTTTACTTTGCAGAAGTCTCAGAAAATAATT